TCCTCTCTAATTGGTTAATAATGAACATATGTTTATAATTGTCATATTTTCTCCTTTTCTTTGGGTGTTTTCAGATCATAGCTCAGCTTCTCTCAGAACGCCTAATTCCATTTGTTGCTCTTGATGTGAGGAGGTAACACAATTTATTTGAATGAATTATTTGCTCTTTTTAAAAAAAATGAAAAACGTCAATAGTTGTCAAACGCAGTGTTTATGATTTTGCAAACATCTAACTCCATCTTAACCTAGGGTATAGGTCCTTATGTTTTCCAATTTAATTCCTCCAAGATACTTGTCTGTATGATGACTCACACATGAGTTTTTCATTTCTATTTTATCCAATGTATTGGTGTAATCGTCCACTAACAGAATATGTGTATTTGATTATGAGCTAGAGAGGCTGATGTATATATGAGAAAGTTGGCTCCGTAGTGGAGAACCTGGCATCTCTTTCTTTGAATGCTTTTCCAAAGAAGAAAAATGAGAAAAATAGGTTCTAAATGTCTTCACATAGATGTCATTTTCCATTGAAATAACACCACTGTTATACATTTGTAAGGGTAGCCCTTTTTTGGTATTTCAATCATATCTGCCATAAGGGTTGGTCTTCTGGCCCCAGAGGAGAATTTGCATTGTGGCTTTCGGTGAAGCTGTTAATCAGGTAGCTTTCTATGGCTGAATCATTAGTCTCAAATTATCTCATCCGCATCTAATAGTTTATCTTGCATTTGGTAACCTTTGGGCTATTGGGTTTTAATTTTGATTTTTTTTCAGTGTAAGGTTTGTTCTGTTATAATTTGGATATTCATTTGTTGTATCGTATATCTTAGGTAAATGGGCACTCTTTGCTACAAATCAATGGGATCATCGTTCTTTTAATATTGAAATCCAACTTCCAAGTGCTAATAATGGAGTTTTATTGCTTATGCAAGTATTAATGGGTTTTTTTGGCAGGGAATAATGTCTTCGCAGCTATCCTCATTGTTGTTCCTGTTGTGGGGATTTCAATGGCCCTCACACCATGGCTTGCTGCTGGAGGCCAGTTAATTGCCTCTCGTTTTGAGCAGCATGATGTTCGAAGTTTATTGCCAGTTGAGAGGAGGTAACATGTCTAAATTTAGGTTATGAGTTTTAGTTTCCCCCTCAGTAGTTAGTAAATAACTAAAGCAGGCCTTCCCATGGTTCTTTGGAGTGAACTCCATGTTTTGTTACATTTTGAGGTTGTAACAACTAAATAAGGAAAGTGTAATGCATTTAGGTGATATATGGATCCCCAAGAGATATGGGAAGAAGCGTCATTAATTTTGCAATAGAAGTCATTTGGAGTGATTATGATTAGATAGTAAATATTGGAGGGAATATAAAGTATCTATGCAGTAAATCTCTTTTCAATATGTGAAATCTGATTTCTGATGTAGTGGATTACTTACTAATCTTTCTCTGATTTGTATATTTTAGACTGATGATTTGCAAGATCATATATCATTTGTGGCTTTGGGCGTGTTGGCCAGGTGCTTATCTATTTACACCCTTGAATTTGAAAAATAAGTCCGAAAATGTGAATCTGATGAACCTCCTCTCTAATTGGTTAATAATGAACATAGGTTTATAATTGTCATATTTTCTCCTTTTCTTTGGGTGTTTTCAGATCATAGCTCAGCTTCTCTCAGAACGCCTAATTTCCATTGTTGCTCTTGATGTGAGGAGGTAACACAATTTATTTGAATGAATTATTTGCTCTTTTTAAAAAAAATGAAAAACGTCAATAGTTGTCAAACGCAGTGTTTATGATTTTGCAAACATCTAACTCCATCTTAACCTAGGGTATAGGTCCTTATGTTTTCCAATTTAATTCCTCCAAGATACTTGTCTGTATGATGACTCACACATGAGTTTTTCATTTCTATTTTATCCAATGTATTGGTGTAATCGTCCACTAACAGAATATGTGTATTTGATTATGAGCTAGAGAGGCTGATGTATATATGAGAAAGTTGGCTCCGTAGTGGAGAACCTGGCATCTCTTTCTTTGAATGCTTTTCCAAAGAAGAAAAATGAGAAAAATAGGTTCTAAATGTCTTCACATAGATGTCATTTTCCATTGAAATAACACCACTGTTATACATTTGTAAGGGTAGCCCTATTTCCCCGTTTTTTTTTTTTTTGCTAATGCAAAACAGTCATTTTTGCCTAATATATGAATGACATTTTTCCTGAAGAAGCTAAGAATCCATGGACTTAGGCTGGTTCATTTCTGAATGGCAATAAAGTAATAGTTTTTTCATTAATGGTAGACATTACAAATTAGCAGATATCTAAAGTTCATCATTCAATAATGGTAGATGCTAAAAGTTGTCATTCAGTGATAGGGTGGCAATGGGGCGTGCCCTGGACATTCCTGTTTATTTTGGAGATGCTGGTAGTCGGGAGGTAAGCAAAATTAGTTTGAAATAAGCCAACTCGTAGATCACTATTTGACTTCCTTTATACTGGTAATTAGGTCCTCCATAAAGTAGGTGCTGAAAGAGCTTGCGCTGCTGCAATAACCTTGGATACCCCTGGTGCCAATTATAGAACTGTTTGGGCTCTGAGCAAGTATTTCCCTAATGTGAAACGTTTGTCCGTGCTCTGATGTTGGTCATGGCCTTAATTTGGAGAAAGCTGGGCTACGGCTGTATTATTCTGATAACTTCTAAATTTTCCTCCTAGTGTTTTTCTTCTGGTTTTTCCTTACTCTTCACTCTTGCTTGTTGAGCACAGGTTGTGCCAGAAACCTTGGAACCGAGTCTGCAGTTGGCAGCTGCTGTTCTTGCGCAGGTATGATAGATCATGTCTTGTATCATGAGGCCCTTGTTTCCTTTTGCTTTCCCTTGGCAAGGGATTGTGATTTGGAATTGCAACTCTTGCTTTGGAAACTTACTAATATGATTAAGGCTGGGGAGTTTAATTTGTTTTTCATCTGCAAAACTTATGATTCGGTTTATATTCTGTTATTTTATTAATCATATTGATATCTTAAAACATCCAAGTCTTTCCTTTTTGCGTTTCTTTACGTAGGCTAAACTGCCCACATCCGAGATTGCAGCAACAATCAATGAATTCAGGTCCCGCCATCTTGCAGAGCTAACAGAGGTACTTCCTATGACCCTACACCCAGCTGAAAATTTAAAATCACCACTTCTTAAGATTGAAAGTTGATATATATTCATACCTAAAATCTCGAGGTTTGTTTTTATCATAATTCGCAAGTGTTTTCATTTTCACAGCTATGCCAAGCTAGCGGAAGCTCTCTTGGTTATGGATTTTCTCGAGTCACGAGTAAATCCAAAACTCAACTGCCAGATTCTTCTGATGAAAATGTTTCCGAAGGAACTTTGGCGATATGAAAGGTTCCCGGTGTCCCCCCCCACCCCAACCCACACACACACACAAGGCGGAATTAAAAACAGTATAGAACTACATGCCCCCCTTTGTTGTAAGTTGTACAGAAATAGAACAGAATGGGACTTTTCAGTGATAAATTTGAAGGGGTTGGTAATTTTTTTTATGAATCTTTTGTTAATTGTTTATCAAATGGTAATGGACAGGAAGGGAACATGTTAATGGATCGATGTTTCCATGTTGTTGAAGCACAATCTCATAGACCGAACACAATCTTTATCCTACATCAATGCAGAAAATTTACTCTGCCTCTTCTCTGGCTTCAATGGATATATATAGGGCTCCTTATCGAGTGAGTAGATCGCAAGTTGGGCAGTGTTCAACTCGTGTTCGTTAAAAAACTAGTTGCTTCACTTACGCTCATTAATAAATTAGGGTTTAGTTTTTTAGTGTAGTAAATAATAATTATCAATTAATAATTTAGTATTTTTATTAATTATTAGAAAATTAATAAACTAGTCATTATTAATAAATTAATATTTTTTTAAGAGTACTAGTAAAAAAATATAATTAAAAAAATATAAAAAAATAAGAGAAAATAATCTCAGTGACCGAAAATGTTTTATAATATACGATTTTAATCAACTTTTTTGGATTTTGTCAAAATGACCAATAAAATCGCAATGCGATCTCGAATTCGCAACTTAGTTTCCAAAATCGTAGCGTAAATAGTAAAATCGTAACGCGAATAGTAAAATCGTAACGTGATCGTAACGCGAATTTAGAAAATTACAAAATCGCGTTGCGAATTTCAAATGGTAATTCTCTGCTTCTAGACTGAGATTTTAAGTGGAAAATAAAACTTATCTACATATGTATAGGAATCAGCTTTTTCTTAATATAATTCAAAATTTAATTTTGTAAATGTATTTCATTAGTCTGAGTTAAAGATTCTTTCAAATTTCAAACTTTAATTAATTGAATTTAGAAAAATTTGTAATGAAGATTGACAAATGAAATAAATTTGTTGTTCATTTACATATAAATTTTTTCACGTGTACGAATATTTTTTATAAAAATTATTTATGTATTTTTTCAACAAATTATTATAGATGGATGATAAGAGATAATTTACATATAGATTCGTTGCGATTTTACTATTCACATTGCGATTTTACTATTCACGTTGCGAATTTGACTTTTGTGTTGCGAATTTGACTTCTGTGTTGCGATTTACAAATCCGCATTGCGATTTACAGATTCACGTTGCGAATTTGAAAAATCACAACGCGAATTTGGAAACTGGGTTGCGAAATTAGAGTTCGCGTTGCGAATTTGTTGGTCATTTTGGCAATTCTAAAAAATGTTGGTTAAAATCATATATTATAAGACATTTTCGGTCACTGAGGTTATTTTCTCAAAAAATAATGAGTTACTTGTGAACTTATCAAGTTGAATTGATCTTGAGTTCGAGTTGAATCCAACAGAGTCGAACTTTTATCGACCAAGTCGAGTTTGAATTGCTCATGAGCTGCTCAACTCATTAAGTGCACATAGAGACTAGATATGCATGTGTAAACTTTATAGTAAAAAGACATAAATTGCTGCAACCTTAAAGGTCCAAAAGTGAATTGTAGTAAAAAGAAAATTCGTGATAAAATAATTTCTGCCGGTTCTGAATAGGCAAATTTTAACCAATTTGACAAGAACCACATGTAAAACTACATACTTGAGCCAGCAGCTGCTTCAGCTTGGCACTTATTCTACTCATAAACTACGAGACACAAATAGGTATTATCAAAAAGAAAAATGGTGGTGTTCAAGGGTTGCTTAGGAAGAGAGCTTTGCACTGCCGCACTGTATCATCAGGACTCGTAACTGCATGGCCAAAATCGATATATCTGTAAACAGTGAGTACGAGTTTGAGTTTGAGATAACAGCTTACAGGTGTGTACCACTGTTCTCTCCGATTCATAAATTTCATGATCGTTCCCTCCCTAACCATAAAACATGCAGGCAAGACCATTAGTTGTGTGGAAAAAAACGAGCGTACGAAACGGAGTTAAAGGACCTAAGCGAATATAATGAATCACGCATAATGCAGTATGTTAAAGGACCTTGTAAGTTTTGTAGCCAAAGAAGTGAATTTCTGGAAAATCTTCAAGATATCTCAAGCAATATGTTTTGTCCCAGCCCTAGGGGAAAACCCATCACAAGCACAATGAAGCAAGGAAAAAATCGGTGAATCCTCTCGACATTCTTGGTATTTAAAACGTTCAATCACAAACCATATGCATTACTCACATCAAAGCTTATTTGCCCTCCAATGGAAAACGTCAAGTTAAGGTGAGCAAACTTTTCTCGAAGCACGGAAACCATTTTTGGGCGAATATTGTGAACCTGAAAACCAAGTATTTGGATTTGCTTGAGCATATGCACCTAGAAGTACTGAATTCATGTCTTTTAGATAACAGACACTAGAGGTTTTTAATATTTTATGCCTTGTCGTACTTCTCGAATTCATCCCTTTCTTCTTGGCTGCAGTTCCGTCTGATTGGAGATACGTTGAGCATCCCACTTCGGAATTCGATGAATGTACCCCTACACCAATGTCACCAAAGAAAAAAACGATAAAGTCTCGAATGATTAGAAGAATAAAGAGAATTGGTACCATTATTCCACTCTTCTCACCTTTTTATAGGGATATCCAAGTCGGCAATATAATGCAGCGTGAAGTTTATAAATTCCTGCACAATCATTTGCAATCAATGAACAAATAGCATACTACACCATCAAGTTCTCAGCGCATAAAGTATTACTGCCTTTAATTCACCCACCACTTAAAACATGTTCAAATTCAATACTCTATACTTGTTTTATTTTAGATATACAAGACTATAAGGATCAAAGAGATTCTTGAAATAATTGCTAGTCGAAAATCGTTGCAAGCAGCTAACAAACATTAAGGAGTCCTATAAATGGAGCTTTTTCTTCATGCAATCTATTTCAGATGTCAAATGCAAGAGCCATCATATCCAATAGGGGGGGGGGGAATCTAACCTTCAGCTTCTCCTCTCCAAGAAATGACTTCAAGCTCTAGAAATAACAAAGGGGAAAAGAACTTATTATCGGCTCTTAAATTTACATGAAATGACAAGAAAACATGGTGTTGAACAAATAGAGAACGCCAGCTATGAGTGATAATACCCGAGTGTCAATGAGTTTTCCATCTTTATGAGCAACAAGCCCATTTTCAGAAAATACATAATCATAGTCATTAATAACTGCATTTTTTTCTCTCCAGAAAATGCGAACCATGGTTAATAATCATAGGCATTAAAGGAACAATGAAACAACAATGTGAAGAAGTTGCTCAGATATCTTACTAAGGTCAGATCCACCCGCCACTCCAACAGAAACAACCTTCAATCCAAAGTAAAACATAGTAAATTCTCTAAATGACATTGACACTTATTTTTAAAGAATTAACAAAAGAGAATCAAAAGGGTCATCATAAAAATCAAATACCTTCCTCAGTTCCTTCATGAACGACAGCATTTCAGGGGTAGCCGTCTATACCATTCAAATGAAAGATACATTAAAATGAATGCCAGTTTCAGTTAAATTCAACAAACCCAAAATTCAAAAAGCATATCACTATAATAATTTAAGGATTAAAAAAAGGAGATTTACAAACCTTTCTTGGAGCTGTAAGAGTTCCATCAATATCAAACAAAGCAATCAAACCAGGTTTCCTTAGAGCCATTGAAGCGTCTATTTATCCCCCTTCTGCTATCAAAATCAATTTAAGGATAAAGGGTGGAAACATAGAGTCAGGGAAGAGGTGGGATGATATGAAAAATGTGAGCTTTGAATATTGATGAAGTGAATAAGTGATAAAATGGGTTGAGACAGTGTACGAGTGTAATGGAAAAGGCAGAGGGAATGAATAAAAAGCAGAGCTTTAATGGCGGAACTAAGGGAATTAAATAATTAGTGTGGATGAGATATGGTGTTTGGGATTACTTGCAGTCCACTTATACAGGTTAGAATATAGCAAGGTCGTTCAGAAAATTTCTTAGTCTTCGTATTATATCATTGATGTATTGGAAGCACGAATCATTTTCGCCCACATTGGAACACGAATCACATTCAGCCATTTTCGCCCACATTGGAACACGAATCACATTCAGCCACGTGCACTAATTTTATAATCCCACAAATAACATCAAAAACTACATACTGATCTCTGACCGTACCCTCAAATTATCTCGTATTTCTCTCTTCCTAAACGCAATAAACTAATGTATTTCGAGTTACCTCAAGGATATCAAAGACTTTCCCGTAAGATAGAGCGTAGTTCATTCAAACTTCTCTCAACACATCGCGGACTCGTGGAGTTTGCATCGAGCCAAAAAAAATAGCTTCCCAAATGCTATTGGAAAAACGACATTAGAAAGAAGAAATGATTCCGAGTTTCAAGACTATCACAAAACACGCACTTCCCATTGCTAACAAGCCCCATTTATAGCGGTCCATCTTTAGTGGGAATTTTCCTAAGAATGACCATCCACCCAATGTTAGTGTTTTTGCCATGCAACCCTAGCAGCTTCAGGTCTAATTGAAAACCAAAATCCAACGAGTATTAATATCATGAAGGTTGGCTATCGGGGCATAAAGAGCCAAACCGGGGTTTTCTGACAACCCTAGAAGTCACATCCCATGGGATGCGCCTTTCCCTTCCAACCTCGAATTCTGCCAAATTATATCTCCTATTTTCCCCAATCGACTGCTTATATAAATCTCTTTCCCCAACTCAAATAAATTACACTTAAATATCTCTCATTCCTGTCTATTTTCAATCTAGTAAGGTATAATTGTTTTTATAATTTATTTTTTATTCATTAAAATTTTTATTATTTAAGTAATTAATTATTTTATTATTATTTTACTTTAGTATTTATTTTTATTTGATTATTTAATTGTAAACTTATTTAGTTAGTTAATATTTATTAATTGTAGTTAAAAAATGGAAGGCACGTTGTTGCGATTGGATGATGATCATATTCCGAGTTATTTTGCCCATGCGGTAAGAATACAAAATTATATTCTTTTTAAATTTATGAATATTATGAATTCGATTATATATTCATTAAATTATCAGAATTTATTTAAATAATTTTGAAATAGTAGTTCAAGTTTTAATGGTTAGAATTTATTTTTTTAGGAAAATGATCGTATATTAGAAGTTTTTATTCGCAACAAGATGGAAACACCGAGGTGTATCTGGCCATATTTGTCTGTGGATTGATTCAATTACTTAGCAAAAATTGAAGGAGGTTGTAAACTTGAACTCACCCTGATTTATGCACTAATTGAGAGATGGAGGCCAGAGACACACACGTTTCATCTACCATGTGGGGAATATACCATTAGGCTAGAGGATGTTTCAATGTAACTGGGGCTCCCAGTTGATGGAACTACCATTTGTGGTGTGGCAGATGATGATTGGGAGGTTTATGCAGGGAGTATCTTAGAAGTTGTCTGCCTAGTTTCAACGGTGGCCAAATAACATTAGGGTGGTTGAAAAATGAATTTAAAGAGTTACACAAAAATTGTTCGAATGACGAGGCAAAAGCATTTTTCTGGGCATATATACTACAATTCATTGGAGGTATATTGATGCTTGACAAACATCGGAACCAAATCCATTGTATGTGGTTGAGGTACCTGATCGATTTTTAAGTAGCTGACACATTGAGTTTGGGGTCCTTAGTGTTGACATTTTTGTTTAGAGACGGACTATGAATTATAAGAAGACTGATATTCGTGGTTGTCTCATGTTTCTCCAATTGTGGGCATAGTACTACATGTCTTTTTATGCCCGATCGTGAATGAGTCATATGTTTTTCCGTTATTTTCAAGGTAACAATAGTAAATTTATTTTTAAATAATGTTTTCGATTATTATAGATTGCCATATATATATATATATTAAATAGTTGGTAAAGTAATAGGAAAAATTATCGTGATATCCCATAATAATTACAATATATTTGATTACTCATTGACCAGAAAGTTGGTGTAGAGGTATGTTTTTTAGTTTTAATTTTTTATTTAATTGTATTTATATAATTTGAATATCATTTTAATTTTGATAAGAAATCTATATTTTTGTTTTAGTTCAAATGGTTGTCATATTTGGACGACGAATTGAGGTTTTGCATCTCGCCTAACTTGAGTGGGATATTAGATGTATGGGTGGCGGTTATACCCCTTATGTTATGCTATTATTGAGTGGCATTCAAATAATTGTGTTCTTCGTCAATTTGGGTTTGCACAATTTATTCTAGAAACACCAAGGAACCTCGACAATATGCATAACATTGATATACGAGGCAAGAAAGAGATGAATTAGTTGGTGAAGCATAGAGAGTTGTAACACCCCCAACCCGTACCCGACCTGAATACGAATCTGAGGTGTCACATTGACTTTTCAAACTTTGACTCTTGACAAAATTCAAAGAAAATTTAAAACTTTCATTTAAAAATAAAAACGGTTTATTTATATAAATTGACCAAAATAATCAAAATTGATCAGAGCATATTCAACTCAATCAATTAGTACATGCCAACTATAACTTTAATAACCAAATACACTTAAATCATCATTTTTCTGATCTCAAACTTTGTAAGGGAGATGTTGACCTGTTTTGCTCTTCTTCGCTTCTATTATCGCTTTTGTAACCTACGTGTGAAACAATCACACGCTAAGTCTATGACTTAGTGAGGCAATAAACATATAATGTAACTATAACTTGTAATCATGGATGAACTATTACTGTTATCACTCATACCCTTATTCATGTAACAAATCCCTATAACACATATGCAATATATCATTACATGTAAGAACATATATACAAACATATACTCATCATTTCCATCATTAGCCTCGTTTCATTATCAATATCATTATTATTTATCTCACTTCGTATATATCCTCTTATACCTAGTATTTTACCCCACATTTGACTCATTTAATCATACAATCCACATATCATCATATAAATCATATAATACAATTCATAGCACAAAAGCATACAAATCACATGTAATATGTTTGTTGTTATTTCTTTATTAGCCCATGTACACATGTGAGAACTATAGATATGTGAGTCTATAGAGGTTGTGTACAAATGTTGTCACCACAACTCGTATAAATGCACATAAGTGCCACGTAGAATTGCACCGAAGTGCCACGTAGAATTGAACCGAAGTGCCATATAAAATGTCTCTAAGGACCACGTAGAAAATTCCTTAAGAATCATATACATATACAAAGGATCAAGTATGTGTCTCAAAAGACATCACACATGTTCCAAGGAATACATATATGTCCCGAAGGACTGCGTAGACCCTCGACTCTTGGCATACCAACTATACCCCTAGCTCTCATAACACATAACATGGGCATTATTATCTATGTCATTTCATATTCACACATTCATAACATTTATCTCTTATTGCATGTCTGATCTCTTATAATCATGTAATCACATAGCTCTTGTCATTTCTTGTGAAATCATACATATCATGTAAGACATCTCAGACATGTACACACAAATCACTTCCATATAATTCACAGGATTTATTATCTCATAGATCATATCACATTTTCATACAATTTCACAATTCATTATCATATATGGATATCACATTTGTACTTAATCACATAGATAATGTTATATAGCATTAAAATCCCACAATTCCTATTTCATAGCTTATATATTGTTCTTATATCTTTTTATAGACATATAAACACCTAGATCATAATTCCCTAATTTATTGTACATAATCATATCATCATTTATATTCATAACCCCTAGCTCATATTTTGTTCTCTTATGCTTACATAGATCCTATAACATATATTGTAGCATACTAACATATATCACTTATATAAATTCATTTATATACAAATTTCTTATATTCTCTTAATTCAACTTTACATTACTCTTATAACCTTTTCCTATGACTTTATAGATCTTTACCATGTAATTTCTATATCATAGCTCATCTAAGCACAAAAATCTTTCTCATACAGCTTATCTCTCATATGATTATCATTATTTATGTACAAATCTCCTAATTGATATTCTATTTTCATATTATCCTATAAATTAATGCTAGTTAGTTTATCTCACTTTTCATTTAATACTATAAGTAAATTATAATAGTTTCCATAAACTTGACTCATGTAATTTATGTTTTGCTATTATATCTTCATCTAAACATATATTTACATGTTCATGATCACTTAACTTATTGTCTTTCTATGGTTATCACATACAACATTTATTATTATACATGATTCGTGACCTTATAACTTATTTCACATATTCATACAACTTATAAGGTTCACATATAGTTACATATTTCATTTCCATATAACCCATATCATATAAATTCACACCTCATAACATATAATATGAACAAAGCATATACACATAATACAAACTTAATCATGCTTCTATTCATGCAAACATATAAAATATTGGAAACAGACTTATCGCAAGTCTAATTTCCATATAATAATATGCACAATCTAATAATATGCACTCACCTTGGCCTCACTAAGTTCCAATCCATTTTTATGATTTCCTCTCTTCCGATTGAATCTTAACTTGATGGTCATACCGTAACTTGTTTGTGCTCGATATATTTGACTCTTGGTTTTCACGCGTGAAGGAAGAAGAAAGATGAAGAGAACTCTGGAACTTCTTTTCCCTCTTCCCACGTGGTTTTATTATCTTATAAGGGAAATAAAAATATTCCTTATCAAATGACCATTTTGCCCTTTACTTAATCTAATAATTAATAACCACTTTTATGATTTATTTCCAAATAAATCATTGAACTAATCCATTGTTCTACTCTAGTCACCAAATTCTGAAACTTTACAATTTGATCACTAACCCGATATTGAGAATGTTACAAATCTCTTATCCTTTAAAGAAAATTCGTCCTCGAAT